TAAAGTGTGCATGTGACTATGTGTAAACATGCATATTTCACCAATGTACCCTGGAGAAAGAATTGCATTCAATAGCCGAACCGATATCATCCTCAAAATTTGCATGAAGAATCCAAGCCCCCAAATCACAGATAGCTCACAACTACTAGTCAGGTACCTAACTTGCCAAATCACCAATCCCACAACCTACATTGCCAAATCCCAAATAAACCGACGGAGCAACAAAGCGTAGCTGCTTACCATAACCATAAGCCGATGGCTGGACGTAGTCACACCGCACAAGCCGATCCCCGTCGGGATACCACGTGATCTCGTCGCCGCGCTGGATCTCCCGTTCGCTGCAACCACATCGAATCCAGCTCAAATCAGTCGGAATACTGGCGACCGCGCCCCGGCACAAGCCCATGGCAACAGCGCCCGCAGGCAGATCCCCGCAGCCCCCCTCCCAGATCCCCACCTGAGTGGCCGGAAGCGGATGGTGACGGAGATGCTGTCGCCTGATCGGGAGGTGTCCTCAATGACGAGCTCGTCCGCGCTAGGGAACGGCACCGGAGCAGGAGGCGGCGGCGGGGCGGGGGCGGACCGGCGCCCGGGGGTGGTGGACCTGGAGCCCCCGCCGCCGCCGTACGAGGAGACGGAGGAGGAGGAGCGGGGGATGAGCCGCCCGGCCATGTAGGAGCTGGAGGAGGAGGAGGAGGTCGGCGGGCGGCGGCTCCCCGCGGAGAAGGGCGAGCTGCTCCGCCTCGACGAGGACGACGAGGACGGCCGCGACGACATCGCGGATCTCGCACGCACGCACGCGGCGGTGGGGCGCGGCGCGGCGCGGGACGGGGGGAGCGAGGCGGAGGTGGGGGGAAGGTATCCGAAGGTCAGAGGCTTCACATGGCCTGCTCCATTCAATCCAAAAGAGAAGGGAGGCCGCTGCGTCGCGAGATTTTAAAAGCGAGACGCCACGCCGCAGAAGAAGCAGCAGAAGCAGCACGGGAGGAAGGCGGAGGAGGCTGCACTGCTACTACCCCTTGCTCGACGCAGGAGCGTAGGTGGGGACCACGTTGACCACGTGGCGGCGCAGTTACACTGAGCTGCCGGGGTAGTACGCCCGCGCGGCCCACCCGTCGGTCGGCGGCGGTGATTTGAAATGGGGAGGACGGTGAGCCGGGTTGCGTGTGGCGGGCGGGAATAACTGCGGCGTGTTTCGCTTTCTGCGGGAGTTTTTATTGCTCTCGGGGTCGGGGTCTCGGGGAGGGGCCAGGGCCCAGGGGAAAGGGAAGCGGTGGCCGGTGGGAGGAGGGAAGAAGGCAGCGGGCGTGAGGTGGGGAAAAAAAAACTGAGGTGCGGTGGTGAAACGGGTGGTGGCAGCGTGCGGCTTTCCTGGAGGCGCACGCGATCTGCTGCCACTGCGGCAACTGAGCGCTGAGAGTAAATTGCACAGAAATATCATAATTGGGGCATTGGAAGCAAATTGGTACCAAGATTGATAATTTTTACATGTCAGTACCAAGATTGGGGCGAGCCGTTGCAAAAAAGACTAAAAGTGTGTTTTATACGTATTGACAGAAAAGCTGACCGGTTGGGCCCGCCCGTCAGGCGACACGCTGGCCAGTGCGCGCTGACTGGGCGCTGACTGGGACGAGGCCGGCTCCCGTTTAGGGCGCGGCTGGTGCGGTCGAGCCACACCCCCGCTCACTCCCCCCGCTCTGCTCTGCTTTCTTCTTCCTTCTCTCTGCCTCGTCGTCGGCTGCGCCCGCCCCCGCCGGACGCCACACGACGCTGCCGCAGCCATGGTTTTTGAAGACGAGAGCAGCGACGAGAACTCAAGCCTCCCGTACATGCACTCCGAAACCTCCACCGATGGGCTCAATCAGGTCAGTTACTCCATTGGAGCTAGGGTTAGGGCTAGGTTTAGGAAAATTTTGGGATTTTTCTGTCTAGGTGGTCTTTGCTGTGAGGATTTCGTTTGATTTGCTTTGTCCTCGTCCTCTGCACATGATGCTAACTTGGATTTTGCTTGGGCAGGTGCCTTTCTCTCTTCAAGACCCGGATTACAATGGTCTTGAGCTAGATCTGATAGTGCTGTGCGAGAAGCATGGGAAGCCATCAGAGAGGCTTGTTGCATTTGAAGGAACAATGACTGGGAGAAGGTTCTTAGCATGTGCAGAGCCGGTAATTTTCTTGCCTTATTGATTATGCACAGGATATGTTCATTGGAAGTCACATAGTCTTGTTTGCCAATTGTTATTCAGTTATGTGATTGGTAATTTTGTTAGTCATATATGTCATACTGTAGTGCTCATTGTAGGAATGGTGAATATTATGGTCAGTAGAGTGCATTTAGGCTAAATATAGGCTCAAGCATGCTCTGTTGTGTGCACATGAATGCTCTGTTGTATGCAATGTTGCTTAGTACTCACATTAGCCATTAGCTGATGTGTGACTCTTAATAAGTAAATGTTGCTTACTGCTGATAGTAGGTACTGTTATTAGCTAGTTTGTTCCTGCAGGCTAATGTAGTGTATTTAGCTAGGCTAATGTAGGATTCCATTATATTAATGGCCAATTGTAAGTTGGTTATTATGCAAAGTTGAATGTAGTGTTACTCTGCTAATTATATACTGATCACCCTCTTGCTTAGCACATGGATGTGCAAATTCAGTGTTGGTCAGTACCAACATTAGCTACTGGCATGAACTAACTGTTGCTTACTACTATTAGTAGTTGTATTGTACTAAATTTTGCCTTGTTATTTTTCCAGGAAGGTCAGAATTGTGGGTTTGTTCAGTGGGTTGATGAGCAGTGACCCCCAACAATGGAGAATGCATTGCTGAAGCTTTGGTCAATGGTTGAAGAGAGCAAGTCTGCTAGGGTGGATGATAATCTTCAAAGTTCTTTAACTATTCACCATTTGACAGAAGAAAATAAGAAGCTGGATGCACAATATGACAAGTTAGTGAAAGATGTGCATCAACTTGTGGACTTTCAGCAGGATAGGGTTGTGGATTTCAGTTATCTGCAGTCAACTGTCATATATCAGCACCAATGCAGAGCTGAATTGGTGGCTGGTATGAATGCAAAAATGGCAAAGAAAGATGCAGCTCTAGAGAAGCTTCAACAGAAGTTTGAAATCCTGTGCAACCTGACAAGTGCTCAAGCAACTGCCATCCAAAACCTCAAGTTGAAGAAGATGAAAGAGAAGCAATTGAGGATTGAGGCTCAAGAGAATTTGGAGCTGAAGAATGCAGAGTTCACAAAGTTTGAGGAGAAGCTCACCCAAGAGAAGCTAGAGTTGAAGTTCCAGGTTGCTGATCTGCTGAAGCTTAAGGAAAACCATAAAGAAGAGCTCATGAAGGCAGAGGAGAAGCTGAAGGAGAAGAACAAGGGGATCCAGGCCATCTTGGAGAACTGAACAAGATGAATTAAGATTAGTGGGCATTGCAGACCTTTTGGGAAGGATGGTTGTGCAATGGCCTAGTAACTTAGAATTATGGTAGTGTAATGTATGGTTTTAGAACTAATTGTGAACTCTGGCTGTTTATGTACCTACTAATATGCTATTCATCCTTTTGTGAGAAAAGGATGGATTGTGCATTTGAACTCCACTATGTAATGTGAACAATGGTTGTGTATTCCTATAATGTGTTGAACTCCAGTTAGTATCATTTGCTTATGTTAGACTGAAAATGATGGTTAAATGCATTTGAGGAATAGTTACATATGTTAGAGTGATGCTTAAATGCTTAAATGCATTTGCAAAAGGAATAGTTTTAGGTGGTTCCGTCGACCCCGAGACACCCTAGACCCTAGTTGATGGCTTTAGGTGGTTCCGTCGACCCCGAGCCACCAAAACCCAAAATGATGGCTTTAGGTGGTTCCGTCAACCCCGAGACACCCTAGACCCTAGTTGATGGCTTTAGGTGGTTCCGTCGACCCCGAGCCACCAAAACATAGACAACATAAAAAGGACCATTTTGAGCATAGACAACATATCAATAATAAAAAGAACCATTTTTATCATAACAACATATCAATCATAAAAAGAACCATCCAAGCTTGCATAATCAATAACTCCAGCATATCAAGATAGTCCATTCCAGGCATTCACTCATAAGTTGCATCCACATCAACAAAAGCCATATATGGCATTGATTCTTAAAGTACACCACCAAAGCAAAGATGACATTGTACACCACCACATGAAGTATCTAGTTACCACTTGCATAGAAGTACCTCCCCCATCCAGTATGTCTACCACCAGCACCTCTCCCAGCAACAGATGTGGAGGGAGCAGTAGATGTGGAGGGACCAGATTGGGCAGAGAATGCACCTCTCCCTCTCCCAACACCTCTTGCAGCACCTGGTGCAGCACCTCTCACAGCACCTCTTCCAGCAGCTTGAGCTGCTGCAGCACCTCTCCCAGCTCCTCTCCCAGCTCCTCTCCCAGCTGTTGGTGTTGTTGTAGGAGCTGCATGAGAGGTTGTTGTTGCTGGTGTAGTAGCAGCACCACCACCATTGGAATTCCTTGCAAGAGGCTTGCATAAACAAGAAGGAAAATGAGTAAGTACTTAAAAAAATGGAATGTACAAGAAGGAAAACCACTTATAAGAGGATTACCACATGTTTGTTCTTCCTCAAAGCCAGCTCAGGCTTCAACTGCTTGAGGCAGCTTGTGTACCTATGTCCTTGCGGTCCACAATTGCCACATGTTATAGTCCCCATTCTTGATGTGTCCTTAGGCTTTGGAACTTCAAATTTCCCCTTGATCCTCTTCTCTTTCTTTCTTCCTCTCTTCACTTTAAATGCAGGTGGGTCAATGTCTGGACCAGGGGTCTTTGTCCAGTCATGCTCACCAGGAACTGGATAGATCATTGGTTCATAAGCTGCCACATAAAATTCTTTCTTGAAGAACTTGCTGACATAATCCTCTGGTTTTCTTTTGCCCTTGTTGATTGCTGAGATGGCATGGTTACATGGGATGCCACTGAGGTCCCATTTTCTGCACCCACATGTGTGCACTTGCAAGTCAACAGCATGGGTTTGCTGCCCACTTGTAACCTGCCACAAGTTCACACCAGCTTGAATTGGTTTGCAATATTTGGCCCTCTCCTTCTCAACCTCTAGCTTCTCACTATAATGGGGTGTTATGTCCCATCTAGCTGTCTTTGCACTCTCCCTATTCCTATGCCACCTCATCATTTGTTTATCCTTTATTCCATCACACATTGTCCTAATTGGTCTCTTCCTAACATCTAGGACATACTTGTTGAACACCTCAGACAAATTGTTAACTACAAGGTCAGTCTTGCAGTTTGTGTCAAATGCATGCCTTGCCCATGTTTTCTTGGGTATTTGACAAAGCCACTCCCAAGCTTCCTGACATTCAGCTCTAAGGTCATTCATTGCAATGTTAAATTTGTGTTCACTATATGCATAGGCAGCATTATCCATACACTTCTTCAGATCTTCCCCCCTAAACCCAGCATTTTGGAAATTTGCATAGATATGCCTAAGGCAGAACCTTTGGTTGCACTTAGGAAAGACAGCATTCACTGCATTTAGTAGGCCCTGGGACACACAATTAAACTAGCTAAGCTACTATCTAGCACAAAACAACCATATAGGAACAAGGACATAAGATGCAAGCACATACCTTTTGTCTATCTGACATTATTGTATATGGACCAAACTGTCCCTCTTCTCCTCCTAGGCAGATTTTAAGCTGGTGTAGAAACCAACACCAGTTAGGTGTGTCCTCTTGCCCAACAATACCAAATGCTAGTGGG